CCCGCTTGCAGATGCCCGCCGGGCTCACCTTGGCCCCGCCGGTCAGGCGCAGCTCCAGGGCGCGGCGGGCTTGGCCGGGGGGCGCCTCCAGGCAGAAGGCGAAGGGGTCGCCGCTGGGAGCCGCCATCTTCGCCCCGCTCGGCCGGCCCTCCCGGAGGAGGAGGAGGAGGAGGAGCCGCCCGGCCCGGCCTCGCCTCGCCTCGCCGCGCACGGGGAGCCGCCGCGCCGCCCTGCAAGCCGGCGCCCGCTGGATGGACAAAGGAAGGGAGGGAGGGAGGGAGGCAGACACGTGGACGGAGAGAGAGGGAGGGAGGGAGATGGAAGGATGGAGGAAAGGATGGATGGAGAGATAGAGAAGGGAGGGAGGAAATGTGGATGGATGGATCTGATAGAGGAAGGGATGGAGAGATAGTGAATTAGGTAGGTAGGTAGGTAGGTGGGTGGATGCATAGATGGAAGGATGAAGGGATAGATAGATAGATAGACAGACAGACAGACAGACAGACAGACAGACAGACAGACAGACAGATAGATAGATAGATAGATAGATAGTGATGATAGAGATGATAATTAGATGATAGACAATGATAGTGATAGATGATAATTAGATAATAGACAGACAATGATAGGTAGGTAGGTGGGTGAGTGGGTGGGTGAGTAGATGGGTAATGGGTAGGTAGATGATAGATAGACACAGATATACACAGAGATGATAGATAGATAGAGGTAGGTAGGTAGGTAGACAGACAGACCAGACCAGACAAACAAAGAGAGAGATGATAGATATAGATAGATAGATAGATAGATAGATAGATAGATAGATAGATAGATAGATAGATAGATAGATAGGGATGATAGATGATAATTGGATAATTAGATAGACAGACAATGATAAATAGACAGACAGACAGATAGCAAGCAGACAGACAGACAGTACGGTTACCTTATACTGCACCGTTTCATCCCGTTACAGGTTACAGGCAGACAGGAGACTTTTAGTGAGTGATGGATAGAGGATAGATGGATAGAGAGAGAGAGAGAGAGAGAGAGAGAGAGATGGATAGGGTGGACAGAGGGAGGGAGAGATATGGATGGAGAGATAGGTAGGTAGGTAGATAGATGCATCCAGTAACTGTATGTGCGAAAGGAAAGGGGGGGGAAGAGGTGAAATTGATAAATGCAGGAGTTCTTTCTCAAACCAACAATTAACCAGTGGAACGGCTTGCCTCTAGAAGTTGTAGGTGCTCCATCACTGGAGGTTTTTAAGAAGAGACTGGACAGCCACTTGTCCAGAATTATATAAGGTCTCCTGCTTGAGCTGGGGGTTGGACTACTAGAAGATCTCCAAGGTCCCTTCCGACTCTGATTGGATGGATGGATGCCTCCAGGAAATGTCGCAAAATGAAAAGGGGGCATTTTGTTTTTCCTTGTCCCCCAAAATTGGCCGTTTAGGATAGTCTGTTTCTGAACCTGGCGTTTTTACCGTACTGTCACACCTTACAGATCAGCATCGATCTGACATTAAAGGCATACTCTGAAAAGTGATGCAAAGTTCTAGTTTTCTTAGGCATGAAAGCCAGCTGGGTGATTTTGGGCCAATCACCAGGAGACGGTGAGTTCTAGTCCCGCCTTAGGCATGAAAGCCGGCTGGGTGACTTTGGGCCAATCATCAGGAGACGGTGAGTTCTAGTCCCGCCTTAGGCATGAAAGACAGCTGGGTGACTTTGGGCCAATCACCAGGCGACGGTGAGTTCTAGTCCCGCCTTAGGCATGAAAGCCAGCTGGGTGACTCTGGGCCAATNGGAGGGAGGGAGGAAAAGAGGAAGGAATGGAGGGAGGGAGGAAAAGAGGAAGGGATAGAGGGAGGAAGGACGAAGGAAGGAAAAGGGAGGGAGGAAGGAAAAGAGGATGAAAGGGAGAGATGGAGGAAGGAAAAGGAAGGAAGGAAAGAAGGAAAGGGGAAGGAAGGCGAGAATGGGGCGTTCTTTTCTCATCCACCCACCCAAAAAAACTGCACTCAAAACATTCATCTTCAAAAGGAGGGCCAAATCTTCCCCAAGCCCAGCAGGACCCCCGTCTCCCATTTCAGTTCCTTCCACAACTCGGTGGCCCTCCTTCCAGACGTGGGGGGGGGGCTGGCTGGGGATGATGGAGACTGTAGTCCAAAACTCCCGGAAGGCTGCAAAGCTGCTTCTGGGCTGTAGGGCCAGAGCGGAAAGGTCCCAGCGGATTCCCGGTTTTTTGCCAAGCCGGTGGTGGCGGTACAGGAAAAGCTCATTTCTTTCCCAGTTGAGACTTCGCCTGCTCCAGCTTGGCCGCCACGGTGGCGTCGGTGCACTTGGACAGGATCAGATTCATCTCTGCTTCGTTCTTGCGCTCGGTGGCCGCTTCGGCAGCCTGGCTGAAGTCCCTACGGCCACGGAAGGAAGTAAAAAGTAAAAAAAAAGGACATTTAAAAGAAGTCCGAAGCCCAAGGTTCCTTTCCCCCCCCATCCCTGAGGTAATTTTTTGCCCATTGGGGAACGTTGGGTGACTAGTCCTCATGAGGGTGCGTCTCATAAGCTGGCGCGCTAATCCCTCAGGATTTTCCTGGGAGAAAAATTCAGCTTTCCCTCTTCCAAAATGGCTGTTTGGTTTTTTTTTTAAGCTGCCTCTGATCCACAGGACAAACGTATTTGGATACAAAGCCCTTTTTTTAATATTATTATTTTGGCCTTTGGGTTCGAATTCTGCTCAGCTTTGAAATCACAAATTGGGGTGGGTCCATTGAGATCGCCTAGGCTAGGGGTAGGCAACCTTGGCTCTTTTATGACTCGTGGACTTCAACTCCCAGAATTCCTGAGCCAGCCATGCTGAGGGGAAAGGGAGAGGTTTCCAAGCTGAGCCATGACGGCTGAAGAATTCTGGGAGTTGAAGTCCATGAGTCATAAAGTGGCCTAGGCCTAGGCCAGAGGTAGGCCACCTTGGCTCTTTTATGACTCGTGGACTTCAACTCCNGCGCTTTGAAGATGATAATCAACACCTTGAAGCGCACTCGGAAGGCCACAGGCAGCCAGTGCAGCTCGCGCAGCAGCGGCGTTACATGGGAGCGACGAGTCGCTCCCATCACCGCCCGCGCGGCCGCATTCTGGACTAACTGGAGCCTCCGAGTGCTCCTCAAGGGAAGCCCCATGTAGAGAGCATTACAGTAGTCCAGTAGTCCAGTAGTTACAGTACTTGGTTTTATTCAACTCCTGCTGAAGGCAGGAAACCAGATTCTACCCGCCCTGACAGATGGCTGTCTGCCTGGACTCACCCGCAGAAGAGCGGCCTGCCCACCCCTTTGATTTACCAGCTCCACCACTACTCCTGCCTAAATTTTGCCTTAATTTCCCACCCAAATCTGCTTTTTTTTTTAAGAGGGGGGGATTCAAATCCATTCTCCAGCTCCGGACACCGCGTTTTGGGGGTGTCTTTTGTCGGGGGTCTCCCACGTCTCCTCTAGGTAGGATTTCCCTCTGAAATGGTCTAAAAATGCACCCCCTTGATTGACAGGTTCGCTCAGGGGAGCGGGAAAAGCTCTGGCCCTCGCATCTTGGATCGCCGCTGCTCGGGAACGTCGTAGGGCTGAGATTCCGGGGAGAGGGTGAGGGGGGGGCCCACGCTTGCTACCTACCCCACCAAGAGGAAAGCCTTGACTTTCTGTTCGGGGGTCACTCGGGCGGTGTATTTCTTGGCCTCGCTGGAGTTGCCATACTTCATGCTGATCTCTGCAAAGGGCTGGAAAGAGAGGAAAGGGGACCACCCGGTGATCGCGGGCAAAGTGCAGCCGGGCGAATCCCGAGAGATAAGAGCAGGCCGACTCCAGTTTTTCTTTTTTTTTTTTGCTTTCTGGCCTTGAGGGGGTGCTTGAGGGGATTTTAAGAGGGAGGGGAGATGAGAGGGGGTTTTTTTTGCTGTTGGTTAATAAGGACAGAAATCGTTATATTTCATTTACACTGGGGCTTTCCCATTACGTTTCCTTTTCTTGCATCTTTCTTTATCTTTCTATCTTTCTCATTTTCCTGCTTTTCCTCCTCCCTCCTTCGCTCCTTTCCTTCCTTCTCTCTCCTTCCATCCTTTTCTTTCTCCTGCCTTCCTCCCTCCCTCCCCTTCCATCCATCCTTTTCTTTCTTCCTCCGTTTTCCTCCATCCATCATTTCCCCTCCCTTCCTCCTTTTCCTTCCTTTCTTCCCTCCCCCTCCCTCCCTTTCCTTCTATTCATGTTTTCCCTTCCTTCTTCTCTTTCCATTCATCCTTTTCCCCTCCCTCCCTCCCTTTTCCTTCCTTCCTTCATTTCCTTCTATTCATCCGTTTTCCCTTCCTTCCTCCCTCTTTCCATTCATCCTTTTTCCCTTCCTTCCTCCTTTTCCTTTTTCTTGCTTCCTTCCCTCCCCCCTTTTTCTTCCTTCCTTCTTCCTCCCTCCCTCCCTCCCTCCTTCTATTCATCTGTTTTCCCTTTCTTCCTCCCTTTCTTTCCATACATCCTTTTCCTTCCTTCCTCCTTTTCCTTCCTTCCTTCCTTCCCTCCCCCCTCCCTCCCTTTTCCTTTCTTCCTTCCCCCCTCCCTCCCTTTCCTTCTATTCATCCTTTTCCCCTCCCTCCCTCTTTCCATTCATCCTTTTCTCCTTCCTCCCTTTTTCCTTCCCTCCCCCCTCTTTTTCTTCCTTCCTTCGTCCCTTCCTCCCCCCCCTTTTCTTTTCCTGTCTCATTCTTTGATTTCTTTTTTACTTTACACAAACTCCTCAGCAAATAAAAACAAAGCAGCAATAAATTGAGGTCTGGTCTTGAGAAGGGGCTGAGAGAAGAGAAAGAGTTATTCTGCTCTGGGGAAACCACACACACACACACACACACACACACACACACACACACACACACACACACACACACACACAGAATATTGAAACCCGACTTTCTTGCCCTTCAAAAGTGGTGTTGAAGAATTTGGACCAGGTTGTCAAGATCCAGTCAAGAGGCCTTGGAGCAACCGTTCCCAACGATGGACTTCAACTCCCAGCGTTCTCATCAGTGGCCACGTCAACTCTGGAACGCTGGGATCTCACATCCACCTACCTGGGAATCCCCAAGGTTGGGGACACAAACACCCTACAACAATCCAGGACCATTCCTGGGATCCTGGTGGTGTCTTTTTCTGAATCTGTCTGCTTTTTCATGGGGATACCCATTCCTGAACGTTGGTAGAATTCAAGAGCGTTGAGTAAGCAAAAAGACCCACCACCTTCGCCCCATCATCTTCTCACCAGGTAGCCAATAGGTGACTTTTTGGACTTGGAGAACTTCTCTAGATCTTCCCAGGCCCCCTGTTCCGCCAAGGCGCTGATCTTCAGCCACCAGAACCTGTCAAGACGGCAAAGAAACAGACTCAAGAACTAACATCCAGCCCCAGCTTGAGGTTCTCCACATGAGCCTTTCTGAGGAAGGCCAACCTAGAACATGTGAGTTATCTCATTCCAGTCCATCTCCATACAGAGTTTAAGCCAGGGGGTGTCCAACCTTGGCAACTTTAGGACCTGTGGACTTCAACTCCCAGAATTCCCCAGCCGGCAAATGCCAACTTGAGGTTCTCCAGCCAACTTGAGGTTCTCCACATGCGCTTTTTCGAGGAACGCCAAGCTAGAACATGTGAGTTATCTCATTCCAGTCCATCTTCATACATAGTTTAAGCCAGGGAGTGTCTAACTTTGGCAACTTTAGAACCTGTGGAGTTCAACTCCCAGAATTCCTCAGCCAGCAAATGCCGACTTGAGGTTCTCCAGCCAACTTGAAGTTCTCCAAATGAGCCTTTTCGAGGAACGCCAAGCTAGAACATGTGAGTTATCTCATTCCAGTCCATCTTCATACAGAGTTTAAGCCAGGGGGTGTCTAACCTTGGCAACTTTAGGACCTGTGGACTTCAACTCCCAGAATTCCCCAGCCAGCAAATGCTGGCTGGGGAATTCTGGGAGTTGAAGTCCACAAGTCTTAAAGTTGTCACGGTTGGACACCCCTGGTTTAAATCTTCTGGAATCTCATGACCCAAGCAGACCACAAGGCACATCTCGCTCAAAGCATTAAGTAAATTCTGGGATTTGATGACCAGATCAAGCTAACTGTGAGAGGGATCTCGGAGTCCTAGTGGACGATCCCTTAAATAGGACCCAGTCGTGTGCTGCAGCTGCCAAAAGAGGCAACACAGTGCTGGGCTGCATTAACAGAGGGATAGAATCAAGATCATGAGAAGGGTTAATACCACTTTACAAGGCCTTGGTAAGGCCACACTTGGAATCCTGCATCCAGTTTTGGTCACCACGATGCAAAAAAGATGTTGAGACTCTAGAAAGAGTAAGAGAAGAGCAACAAAGATGATTAGGTGGATGGAGGCTGAAAGATATGAAAAACTTGTATTTAAGTGATTGTCCACTAGGATTCCAAGATCCCTCTCAAAGGTTGTAGGAACTGGGTATGTCTAGTTTAATGAAGAGAAGGACGAGGGGGGATATGATAGTAGTCTTCCAATATTTGAGGGGCTGCCCCAAAGAAGAGGGAGTCAATCTGTTCTCCAAAGCACCAGAAGGCAGGACAAGAAGCAATGGATGGAAACTGATCAAGGAGGGAAGCAACCTGGAATTAAGGAGAAATTTCCTAACAGTGAGGATGATTAACCGGTGGAACAGCTTGCCACCAGAAGTTGTGGGTGCTCCATCACTGAAGGTTTTCAATAAAAGATTGGACCGCCGTTTGTCTGAAATGGTATAGGGCAGGGGTAGGCAACCTTGGCTCTTTTATGACATGTGGACTTCAACTCCCAGAATTCCTGAGCCAGCCATGCTGAGGGGAAAGAGAGAGGTTTCCAAGCTGAGCCATGCTGGCTCAGGAATTCTGGGAGTTGAAGTCCACGAATCATAAAAGAGCCAAGGTTGCCTACCCCTGGTATAGGGTTTCCTACCTGAGCAGGGGGTTGGACTAGAAGACCTTCAAGGGTCCCTCCGCTTGTCCGAAATGGTATAGTTCAGGGGTAGGCAACCTTGGCTCTTTTACGACTTTGTGGACTCCAATACCCAGAATTCCTGAATCAGCCATGCTGACTCAGAAATTCTGGGAGTTGAAGTCCACAAGTCACGAAAGAGCCACGATTCAATAAACCTGGATAAAGCTATCCCAGTTTGTTCCTCTCGGAATGGAAGAGAAACACATTTGTGTTTCAAACCAGCTGGGGTGGAGTGGGGGGTCCAGCCCTTCGCACTGGCCTTCCCGGACCACAGCCCAGTCCCGGGGACTGTCCTCACCGTTTATCGGGGATCCGGAAGTCCCGGTAAAGTTGCTCGGCTAATTTGTGCTTCCCATCCAGGATGAGGTTGTAGACGGTGTCGTGCAGGGACAGGTCCACGTAGGGTTTGTCAAAGTCGTCCTGAAAGCGACGCTGGTGACGTAACAGCTTGATTTGGTCTTCGGTGGCCTGGTGAGGGGGGGGGNGGACTGTCCTCACCGTTTATCGGGGATCCGGAAGTCCCGGTAAAGTTGCTCGGCTAATTTGTGCTTCCCATCCAGGATGAGGTTGTAGACGGTGTCGTGCAGGGACAGGTCCACGTAGGGTTTGTCAAAGTCGTCCTGAAAGCGACGCTGGTGACGTAACAGCTTGATTTGGTCTTCGGTGGCCTGGTGAGGGGGGGGGAGGGAAAAAGGACATTTATTTTTTTTCGGAGAAGGCGGCTTGGTCTAGTGGTTAAAGCACCAGGGTAGAAATCAAGAGACGGTGAGTTTGAGTCTTGCCTTAGGCATGAAAATCGGCTGGGTGATTTTGAGCCCATCACCGGGAGATGGTGAGTTCTAGTTCCGCCTTTGGCATGAAATCCAACTGGGTGACTTTGGGCCAATCACCGGGAGACAGTGAGTTCTAGTCCCGCCTTTGGCATGAAAGCCAATTGGGTGACTTTGAGCCCATCACCGGGAGACGGTGAGTTCTAGTCCCGCCTTAGACAGGAAATCCAACTGGGTGACTTTCAGCCAATCACTGGGAGATGGTGAGTTCTAGTCCCGCCTTAGACTGGAAATCCAACTGGGTGACTTTGAGCCAATCACCGGGACACGGGAGTTCTAGTCCCGCCTTTGGCATGAAAGCCAATTGGGTGACTTTGAGCCAATCACCAGGAGATGGTTAGTTCTAGTCCCGCCTTTGGCATGAAAGCCAATTGGGTGACTTTGAGTTAATCACCGGGAGACAGTGAGTTCTAGTCCCGCCTTAACAGGAAATCCAACTGGGTGATTTTGGGCCAATCACCGGGAGGTGGTGAGTTCTAGTTCCACTTTTGGCATGAAAGCCAGTTGGATGACTTTGGGTCAGTCCCTCTCTTTCAGCCCAACCCACCTCACAGGGTTGTTGTTGCAAGGAAAATGGGAGGAGGGAGGCATGTTGGATATGTTCACTCCCTTGAGTTACAAATAATAAAGGCGGAAGACCAATAAATACATAAATAAAATATTGGCCATGATTCAGTTAACTTGCTTCCCGGCGTAAAGTCCGGTCCCACTTTGTGCTGTACTCCGGATCCAAGTCTCCTTGGCCAACGGTGCCCTGTGCCCTCACCTTGGCTGCAAACTCATTCTTGGCTTTGTAGTACTCGTCAACCGCGTTCTGCAGACTGGCTACACGGCCCTCGATCCACTGTGGAAGCAAAATGGAGGTTAATCCAGCTTGCAAGAACTGCCTGCAGCTGAAAACACTTACGGTAAATAAAAAATCAGACGCAGAGGTCTTGAAACTTGCAACTTTAAGACTTGAAACGCGAAACTCAAGCTTCTCCCAGCGTCTAGCTGAGAGCAAGACTGCTCTATCATAATAAAAGCTGATTACACTAAAAATCCGACTCTTGGGTATAGTCATGATGTGCAACCAGGTGTGAAAAATATATTTTTTTGCCTGGTTCTCCGAGGGGCAACCCCTCCGGATCGGAATCTGCCAGCCCTAATTGGGTGCCCCCACCCCCACCACGTTGCAACAGCACCCACCTTTTCGCTGATGTAGCTACTACGGACGTGGAAGTTGCCCAGCTCCTGGTGATTGTCGTCTTGGTTGTAAAGATCTTTGAGTGTGTTTGGCTCTTTGTGTTTGCAGAACTGAGGATGGACAAGAGTCGTACATGAAAAAGGTGGGGTATAAATCGATTCATTGTCCTATTTGTTTTTTTCTATTTAGGAACATTTTAATTTATTTACAGTATGTATTTATTAAATGTATACGCTCCCCATCTCACCCTGGAATAAGTCTAGGAGGGTTACAAGAAGTTATTTGGCGGCTTTTACCTCAGATTTATTTTATTTCCTTATTCAAGGGACCAAAATGGGACACGTTGCTTGATTAAAAGCCTAGAGCAGAGGTGGGGAACCTTGGCTCTTTTATGACTCGTGGACTTCAACTCCCAGAATTCCTGAGCCAGCATGGCGCAGCTTGGAAACCTCTCCCTTTCCCCTCAGCATGGCTGCCTCGGGAATTCTGGGAGTTGAAGTCCACCAGTCATAAAGCGGCCTAGGCCTAGGCCAGAGGTAGGGAACCTCGGCTCTTTTATTACTCATGGACTTCAACTCCCAGAATTCCTGAGCCAGCATGGCTCAGCTTGGAAACCTCTCCCTTTCCCCTCAGCATGGCTGGCTCAGGAATTCTGGGAGTTGAAGTCCACAGGTCATAAGGGGGCCACAGTTCCCTATGCTGGCTCAGGAATTCTGGGAGTTGAAGTCCACAGGTCATAAGGGGGCCACAGTTCCCTATGCTGGCTCAGGAATTCTGGGAGTTGAAGTCCATGTCATAGAGATCACAGTTCCCTATGCTGGCTCAGGAATTCTGGGAGTTGAAGTCCACAGGTCATAAGGGG